TGTGTTCACTGACTCCATAAAGCGAGTGCGGAAAATGAGCAATTTTCATGTCGTAGTTGTGCAACAGTGGAAAAGAAATGTGAAAAAGAGCGTGATGCACGTGCAAATTTGTTGTTTTGTTATTAAAAACCTATTATTTTTTGCCGTTCTCCGTGTCGTCCCCTTCGTCGTTGGTTTCTTTTTCATCCAGAAATAGTGCTACCATGGTAACGTGACGTCACTCTTTTCCTTTCTATATTCATGCCCTTGTAATTTCGAAAAGGCTCAAATTCCCCTAGGATGACCGAACAGATACAAATAAAGTCAGACATTTCAAGAACTCGTTGAACAGTAACTCTACTGGGTAAAGCTGAATAATCATAAGAGTATTCTTACATTGCACATTTAGCGTTGCCGTGCTGGACTGAGCTGTCCCAACAACGTTGGCAGACACACATATGTATTGGCCACTGTCTCCTCTGCTCACATTCGTTATGACCAAGAGTGTGTTATCTAATGATAAACTGATTCTTGACGTCAAATTAACAACAGATCCGTCTTTTGTCCATGACAATGTGGGTGAAGGATTTCCAGACGCATCACAGGTAAAGGTCGCGTTGTCCCCTTCTGTCAATGTCTGATTTTTTGGATGTTGGATGAATTCAGGACGATCTGTAAACACATAAATACCCTTTATGGTAGATTTTATAAATATAACTTGAAAATATTGTTTCTTTCCTTGTTTTTCCCACATCAAAAAGGACAAATTAACTTTTATTTGTTTTCTTAAACGAACAGTAGACTAGCCTATAGCTATTTAAGTATTAAATGAAACGTTACTCTGAATCTTGGAGAACGAGTCTCGCCAAGGTACCGGCATAAGTTGCATGAAAGGTCCTTGTGTAAACGCCACTTCTGAAAGTTCTTTGATTGAATATCAAAATTAATTGGAAAATATGAATTAAATTTCTCATGAGTTGTTATAGTAACACATCGTTTTTACAAACGATGCAGCTAAGTAATTTAATTGTTCGAGAAACAAAAAAAAACTAAGATCCATCGACCGGTTTAAAGCTTTCCCCTTGTATTCCAACATTCTTGCCTTTTTTTGGAGAACAACAATCACGATGGACGTTATTTGGTTGACAGATTATGACAGTTATTCCTCACGAACTCCGTATCTCTCTTTTCACAAATTTTGTTGATTACTGTGGGTATATTTTATTGTGATGTACGTTAAACTTCCTTCATTCCTACGATTCTTTAAATTAAAGAATGAAAATTTTGTAACAGAGCAAACCAATGACGAAAATTTTAAGGGTGCGTTTACAGTGTTTGTAATCTAAACATGTACAAGGAAAGGTATTGCAGTTCTTCATTCAATATTTCCTATGTAAAGAAAGTGAAGAAAACTGAGTTTCCAATGTATCGAGTTTCTAGCCTTGTTTATTGTTTATTGTTTTGTTGGCCAAAAATTATACAAATCAAATAAAATCTAATTACTTAAACTCTCATGGCGAGGAAGCCCAAGAGAAACCACCGGGCTTATAATAGCCTGCGTGGCAGGCGTTTGAAAGGGAAGGGAAAGGGAGTTTTGGCAAAGCGAGTTTTAGGGGCGAGAGAAACGCGGGAAGGGGGGGGGGGGGGGGGGGGGGGGGGGG